TTATCTATAATAAGTTAGTCGATCTAGCTAAAAAGCGTAGAGAACCCGAATTAATAATTAGCTATATATATAAATTCAAGGTTTTTAAGCTTAGCTCTATCTTATTTTATATATACTAATTTAAATTAATTTAAAAAAAGTTATTTTCTAAATATAAAATATATAAAGTTATTAGATTAAGTATAATAATTAAATATTATTAATTAAATCTAATAAATAGAATAATAATTATAATATCTTAGTTTTAACTTAAAATAGTTTTTTTTATTATATTTTCTTTTATAAAAAGTACGTCTAGACTTTAATAATACTATATTATTACTTATAAATTTATATCTTATTATAATTATTTAAGAAGTTATATATCTTTTAATTATAAAGTAATTCTTTTTATATAAAATATATATAATTAGGCCGCTAGATATTAATTAGTAATTTTCTTTATTTATAACTATTAAAAAGTAAGTTATATTATTAAAATCGCTCGCTAATCTTATTCTTATAATTTCTTAAAATATAATTAATATAGAGATTTAAATTCGAAACGAATTAATTAAATTTAAAATTATATAAATTAAGATCTTCTTTATTACTTAAGCGAATATAATTTAAGAAATAATTAAATTTATTAATTTCTATAATTCGCGGATTTTCTTAAATATATAAATTTTAAAGTCTAATTGATAATAATATAATTAATATATATAATTAATTTATTATTTAATTTAAATATATATAATTAATATAACTATATATCTTTCTTATTTATAATTATACTTCTTAAATTTTATATATAATCTTTTAATTTTTATCTTCGCGAAGTTTTATTTTTACTTTACTTTAATAATTTAAACGAGTTTAAATTAATAGTTAATAAATTATTAAAAAAATTTAAATTTCTATAATTATTAAGTTAATAGCTTTAATAAATAATAATATTATAAATTAATAATTTATAATTAATATTATAATTAATTACTATATTAAGAGATATATCGCTATTAAGTATATATTTAATTTATAAAAATAATATTATTAATCTAATTTAATAATAAAATATAGAGAAAAATAATTTTATTTTATTTAGATATAGATAATATTATAATATAAATATTATAATAATAAAAAGAATTTTTAAAAAAGAAGAGAGTAAATTAGAAAAGAATAATATTAAATATTTATTATTAAGCTAATTAATATTGTATAATTAAAAATTTATTAAAATAAAATATTATTTAAAGAAAATTAAATTTAAACGTTAATTAAAAAGCTAATTAAAAAAAATTAATTTTTTATTAATAATATATATTCTAGAGCTATGAATAAGCGCTTTTTTTTATATTTTAAATATATTTTAAATATTCATAACTATATATATACACGCTCTCTTATATTCTATATATTTTCTTTTTATATATATAATATATTTATTAAAGATAATCTTATTAATCTTATTAATTTCTATTTCATTTTATATTTACTAATTATAAAAAAAGCTCTTTATTTTAATATTATAACTTTATTAATTCGTTATTCTTAAATATTAGATTATTTATAGCTTACGATTAATTCACTTACTTTCTTCTCTTCTTCTATTATAAAAATAAGAGAAGATATTATTTCTTTTTTATCTTCGTCTATAATAAAATTATTATTATTCTTATAAAATAAAAGATATTCATTTAAAAATAAGACCTCTTAATTAAAAGCGAAGAATATAATACTTTAATAATTTAATATCTAAATAAAAGATATTATAATATTACTTAAATAAAAGAAAGACGTATTAATAAGAAAGATTTTAAAGCTTAAAAAAAAATTTACTATAATAAAAGATTTAATTCTTATATATAGAAGATTTAAATAATAATTAATTTAATTAATTAAATTATTAAAGCGTTTAAACTAGATTTTAATTCTATATTAACGCCTAATAAAATTTATTTAATAATTTTAAGATATTAATATATATTTTTATTAATAAAATTAATAATTAGAATATTAATTAAAAAGATTTAATTTTTAATTCTAATATTTAAAATAATATAGCGATAAACGAGTAATATTAAAAGAAATTAAATATATATTATATTAAATAAAAAAGCGTTAATAGCTAAATTAATTAGAGTTTTAAATTAATTAAATTAAATATTAATTTTATATTAGTATTATTACATATTATTATATATATAGCTATTAATTATATTTCTAATTAAAAAAAGTTAATTTTTAATTTAAATATTAAAAATAATATAATAATATATTATTAAAATAATATAAGTTTCTATTATAATAAGAAGATAGAATTTATATATTAAATATTAATCTTATTTTATTTCTAATATTTTATTTATTTATATATCTTTTTTAATTACTCTTTAAATATCTTAATTTTAAAATATTATCTAAATCTTTATTTAATATAAACTTAATTTTATTTATTTAATAATACTTAATATAAAATATTAATAAGTATATTTTAATATAAAGATAATAATAAACTTTATATTCTATTTAATATTAATAAAAAAAATAAAAAAATATAGTAATAGATAAAGATAGTATAAGCTATATAGAATTAATTTAAATTTAATAATAATTATTAGTCTATTTATTAAGGCTTAAAAATTAAGAAATTCTAGAACTAAATATATATTTATTAGTTTCGACGAGTTATATATTATTCATTATTACTATAATAAAATTCTAATTTATTTATTTATAAACTATAAAATAAATAATATAATAGTATATATTAAGTTTAAAGAATATATTAAGAAATCTAATTTTAATAATTTATAATAAATAAGTTTAATTAATAGTTATAAAAATTAAATATATTTTTAAATTAGATAATAGAAACTATTAATAAATAAAATAATAAATAAAAAGTCTAGCTTATTATTTACTCTAAAAATACTATTATTAAAATTCTCTTAAAATATTAAAAGATCGAAAGCTTATATATAAAGATTTCTCGAAATAATTTTATTACTAAATTATAAATAATAATATTTTATTTATAAGTATTAATTATTTTAAGATATTATAATTTTAATATTATCTTAACTTTAATATATAATTAAAATTAAAATTTATTATAAAGAATTAATTAATACGAAAAACTATAGAGCTAGAAATAAAATTACTAGAAAATTTATTAATCGATAATATTAAAATCTCTCTAATTTTAAATTATTAATTATCTATAATAATTTTAATTCTTTTTATTAATATTAATTAGTAATAATATAAAAATTTTATAAATTTTAAATATATCGAAGCTAAATATATTAATTAAAATTTATAAGTATTATTAATTTAATTTTTATAAAATATAAGATTTAAATTTATATATTTAGATTTATAATTAATAATACTAGTAATAATAATATACTCTTTAATAATTTAATTACTTATCTTTCTATTTTTATAATAAATAATTTACTTAATATTAAAAAATTCAAATTTTAAAATTATTTATAATATATTTTTTATATAATATATATTATTTAATTAGTTTTAAAAGAACTTCTAAATAATATTAGAGTTATTTTAATTTTTTTTAAAAGAGTTAGCGTAATAAAAAAGATAAGAATTAAATTTAAATAAATATAGTTAATCTATTAATAACTCTAATAAAAATATAATATATCTTATTATTATTCTAATTATTATATTATTAATTACGAATAAAAATCTATAAATTAAATATATTTTTTTTTTTTAAATTAGAGCTATCGAGTAAGTAGATAAGCGATCTTTAATAAGCGAACTTTAATAAGGGATATTTGAATTCCTTGCGCTTTAATAATTATAAGACTAAATTTCAAAATTCTTAAAAATGCGAAAAGTATAAATAGCGCTTTAAAATTAAAAAAAAAGCTTAAAATTCTAATAGAAAATAAAGAAGTAATTCTATATATTAATAATATATATCTATTTTTTTAATAAGAGAGACGTAGAAGAGCGAGATCTTAATAGTTATAAATACTAATTTCTTTATTTATAATAAATTAGCCGATCTAATTAAAAAGCGTAGAGAACTCGAATTAATAATTAGCTATATATATAAATTTAATATTTTTAAGCTTAACTCTATCTTATTCTTTTATATATATTAAAATTTAAATTTAAAAAATTATTATATATATTAATATTAGTGATTAACGTAAAAAGATATTTTTTATATTATAAACTAAACGACTTTAAGATAAAAATATTTTAATATTAGATAAATATTAATTTTTTAAAAAAAGTAATATTATTAGAAACGCTTTTTTAAACTCTTCTAGAATATTAAGATTTATTAAAATTTAATTTATTAAATATTAATCCGCGCTCTACTTCTTTATATTAGTATTATATATAATTTAAAAAATAGATTAACTATCTATTTAAGATTAAATAATAAAAAATTAATATAAATAAAAATTATAATTTAGATATCTAAATAACTTTCGATTAATTTCTAATAGATTTAATATTTAATTTAGCTTATTAACTTTTTTTATAAGTTTATAAAATAAATAAATAAATAAAAGAAGATTATAATTTATTATATTTTAATATATATAATTATTTATTTAATTACAAGTAAAGGCCTATGAATTAAATTCATGGAGTTGGATTTTTCTAAGTTAAATCAAATTTTAGCCCTAGCCCTAAGTCAAATCGAACTCTGATCGCTTACTATACGTTTTTGACCTATATATAGATATATATGTACGGAGAGAGGCGCGCTAAGGCCTAATTAGGAAGGTGTATTGAGTGTGGAGGATTGATTCGTAATAATTGCCCATAAAAAACAGAGAAAGGCCATATCCTTATGGCAAGAAGTATCGAAATATTGGAAAGAAATGGAGACAACATGCCAATTAGTGGTGTGAATCCCACATTATCTCCTACCGCAGTGAAATCTTTCGAATAATGAAATAGCTGTCAGAGCAAGACATCGGACGGTTTCAATTCGTCCAAATATGTATCGTCCGAACTTCCTTCTACAGTGGCCCACTTGGCTGCGATCGACGTAGTAGGTCCTTCTCTTGTGTGCTCATTGCAGTGATGTACCACAATGTGATATTGTCTAGGCATGCAGAGATAGCAGGCCAAATTGTAGTGTCGTTCTCCGCCTGCTGAGTGGTGATTTGCCGTGGAACCGTGGAGAGCATATGACGTGGGATCTTGGAGAGCTGAGCCGTGTTCTTGATGATGGTGGCCTTGTTGTCGCTTGGTTTCTCCGCAGTGTTCTCCGCATGTGCCTGCTGCAGTGGTTCCTTCTCTTGCATTGACTGAGTGGACTGGTGTGAGATCGTGGAGAGCAGAGCTGTTGTGTCACTGCTGCTGCTGACTGTCTCCGTAATATTCTCCGCAGTGTATTGTTCCTCCTCTTGCTTAACTGAGTGCTCTTGCTGAGTGGCTGGCTGAGTGGATGACTGAGTGGATTGGTGAGCTGGCTGAGTGGCTGTCTGCTTCGCTTGTAAGGCCTCTTGTCTCGCCCATATCAATGCAGTGGGGACGACAGGCCAAGTTGCAGTGGTGTTCTCCGCTTGCTGAGTGATGATTTGATGTGGAACCGTGGAGAGCATATGACGTGGGATCTTGGAGAGCTGAGCCGTGTTCTTGACGATGGTGGCCTTGTTGCCGCTTGGTTTCTCCGCAGTGTTCTCCGCATTTGCCTGTTGTAGTTCCTCCTCTTGCTCCTCCTCTTGTAGAGTATCAGACTGAGTGGCTAGCTGAGTGGCTGACTGAGTGGATGACTGATATGACGTGGGATCTTGGAGAGCTGAGCCGTGTTCTTGACGATGGTGGCCTTGTTGCCGCTTGATTTCTCCGTAGTGTTCTCCGCATTTGCCTGTTGTAGTTCCTCCTCTTACTCCTCGTCTTGTAGAGTATCAGACTGAGTGGCTAGCTGAGTGGCTGACTGAGTGGATGACTGATATGACGTGGGATCTTGGAGAGCTGAGCCGTGTTCTTGGTGCTGGGGGCCTTGTTGCCGCTTGGTTTCTCCGCAGTGTTCTCCGCATTCGCCTGTTGTAGTTCCTCCTCTTGCTCCTCCTCTTATAGAGTATCAGACTGAGTGGCTAGCTGAGTGGCTGACTGAGTGGATAACTGATATGACGTGGGATCTTGGAGAGCTGAGCCGTGTTCTTGACGATGGTGGCCTTATTGCCGCTTGGTTTCTCCGCAGTGTTCTCCATAGTGTTCTCCGCAGTGTTCTCCGCATTTGCCTGTTGTAGTTCCTCCTCTTACTGCTTAATGCAGTGGGGATGACAGGCTAAGTTGCAGTGGTGTTCTCCGCTTGCTGAGTGATGATTTGATGTGGAACCGTGGAGAGCATATGACGTGGGATCTTGGAGAGCTGAGGCGTGTTTTTGACGATGGTAGCCTTGTTGCCGCTTGGTTTCTCCGCAGTGTTCTCCGCATTTGCCTGTTGTAGTTCCTTCTCTTACTCCTTAATGCAGTGGGGATGACAGGCCAAGTTGCAGTGGTGTTCTCCGCTTGCTGAGTGATGATTTGATGTGGAACCGTGGAGAGTATATGACGTGGGATCTCGGAGAGCTGAGCCGTGTTCTTGACGATGGTGGCCTTGTTGCCGCTTGGTTTCTCCGCAGTATTCTCCATAGTGTTCTCCGCAGTGTTCTCCGCATTTGCCTATTGTAGTTCCTCCTCTTACTCCTCCTCTTATAGAGTATTAGACTAAGTAACTAGCTAAGTAGTTAACTAAGTAAATTACTAAGCTAATAGAGTAGATAGTATTAATTAAGCGGCTGGTCGAGTAGTATATAGAGGAGAACGATGGCTGTAAATCCGTTCGGGCTCTTTTTAAGAGCTTTCTAACGCGTTTATAAGCAGTAGTAAGTAGCTGTTAGGCTCGCTTACGGCCTCGATTACTAGTAATAGCGGATTCGCGTTAATAGAGGCTCTAAGAGGCGGGTAAAAGGGGTATACATGCCTAAAGCGTTTAGTAACGTTTCCGCGAGGGGTATCGAGAACGATTGTATTCATATTAGTGGAATTAGTAGAATTAATAGAGTGGTGGAAGAATAATAGTTACACAAACAAATAAACAGATAAAAGAATTATTATTCAATTCTGAATACGTCTAATATAACTATTATAACTACCATATTTAAATATTCATTTTATTTACCAATAGTAGGTCAAACTTCATTATTTTTATAACGTTAGAAAGCGCAAACTAAGCTCTATAATTTACGAAATTATAAAGTAACAGCATCCGTAGAAAGCTGATTATTTCAGAGTATAAAACTTCTATATATAAATTTTTAATAAGAGAGCTTAGGAGGGCTAGCGGGCTAATTTAGCCGATCTAACTAAAGAGCGTAGTAACCCTAAATTTATAATTGGCTATATATATAAATTCAAGATTTTCTAGTTCAGCTCTATCTTATTCTTTTATATATACTGATATAGATAAAGAGCTTAATAAATTAAGAAGAAAAAGAATTTCTTAGATTTTTTTTTAAAGTTTTTAAGATAATTTATAAGGAATTAGTTATTTATTATAGTTAAATTTAATTAAATTTAGACTATCTATATAGATAAGCTACGCTTTTATATCTAAATTAATATATATAAAAGAATAAAATAAAGCTAAGCTATAAAATCTTAAATTTTTATATATAACTAATTATAAATTTAGAGTTATTACGCTCTTTAATTAGATCGACGAAATTAATCTACTAGCTCTCTTAAGCTTTCTTATTAAAAATTTATATATAAAAGTTTTAGACTTCAAAATAACTAGTTTTCTACGAATACTATTACTTTATAATTTCGTTAATTATAGAGCTTAGTTTACGCTTTCTAACGATATAAAAATTATAAAGTTTAATCTACTATTAATAAATTAAATAAATATTTAAATATAATAATTATATTAACGCGTTCGGCCTTTCACCTATTTATGTAATTATTATTCACTACTACTCTATTAATTCTATTAATTCTATTAATATAAATATAATTATTCTTAATACCCCTCGCGGAAACGTTACTAAACGCTTTAAATATATAAATTCTTTTATTTATCTCTTTAAGCCCCTACTAACGCCTCTAAACTATCTTATAATAAATTCGTTATTATTAATAAGCGAGGTCGTAATCGAGCTTAATAGCTATTTACTACTATTTATAAACGCGTTAAAAAGCTAAAAAGAGTTTAAACGAATTTATAATTATTATTTTCCTCTATATACTTCTTCTCTTAAATTAGCGATACTCGATTAATCGCTTAATTAATATTATCTACGCTATTAGCTTAGTAATTTACTTAACTAAATCGTTAGTTAGTTATTTAATAATTTACTTAATTAACTATTTAGCTAATTACTTAGTTTAATACTCTATAAGAGAAGAAGTAAGAGAAGAAATTATAATAGATAAATATAAAGAATTTACGAAGAATATTACGGAGAATACTACGAAGAAATTAAGTAATAATAAGATTATTATCGTTAAGAACACGGCTTAACTCTTTAAGATTCCACGTTATATACTCTCTACGATTCTATACTAAATTATTACTTTATAAGCGAAGAATACTACTATAACTTAATCTATTATTTCTATTATAAGTAAAGACTCATAAATTAAATTTATAGAGTTAGATTTTTCTAAGTTAAATCGAATTTTAGCCTTAGCTCTAAGTTAAATTAAACTCTAATCGCTTACTATATATTTTTAACCTACTTTTATTACTATAAAATTAATTTTATCTATATAATATATAGATATATATATGTAAAGAGAGGCGTATTAAGACTTAATTAGAAAGGTATATTAAGTATAAAGAATTAATCTATAATAATTATCTATAGAAAATAGAGAAAGATTTTATTCTTATAGTAAGAAGTATCGAAATATTAAAAAAAAATAGAGATAATATACTAATTAGTAGTGTAAATTCTATATTATCTTCTATCGTAGTAAAATCTTTCGAATAATAAAGTAGTTATTAGAGTAAGATATCGAACGATTTTAATTCATTTAAATATATATTATTCGATATTCCTTCTATAGAGGTTATAGTAATATATTATATTAATATAGTAGAAATAATAGACTAAGTTATAGTAGTATTCTTCGCTTACTAAGTAATAATTTAATATAAAATCGTAAAGAGTATATAATATAGAATCTTAAAGAGCTAAGTCGTATTCTTAACGATAGTAGTCTTATTACCGCTTAATTTCTCCGTAATATTCTTCGCATTTACCTATTATAATTCCTTCTCTTACTTCTTTTTTTATAGAGTATTAAATTAAGTAGCTAGTTAAGTAATTAACTAAGTAAATAATTAATATAATATAAGATCTTAAAGAGTTAAGTCGTATTCTTAATAATAATAATCTTATTACCGCTTAGTTTCTCTATAGTATTCTTCGTATTTATCTATTATAATTTCTTCTCTTACTTCTTAATATAGTAGAGATAATAGATTAAATTATAGTAATATTCTTCGCTTACTAAGTAATGATTTAATACGAAACTATAGAGAGTATATAACGTGGGATCTTAGAGAGCTAAGCCGTATTCTTAACGATAATAGCTTTATTACCACTTGATTTCTCTATAGTATACTTCGTAGTATTCTCCGTAGTATTCTCCGCATTTATCTATTATAGTTTCTTTTTCTACTTCTTCTCTTATAAAGTATTAGACTAAGTAGCTAGCTAAGTAAGAGCTCTTTTTAAAGATTTTTTAACGCGTTTATAAGTAGTAGTAAATAGCTATCAAGCTCGCTTATAGTCTCGATTATTAGTAATAGCGAATTCGCTAAAGAGTAGTCTAGAAACGATATTTAGAATCTAATACGCGTTAAAAGATTTTAAAATAGAGTAATAAAGAATAGATAGAGAAGAAAGATACGTTTTAAGAGGATATTAATAGGGGCTCTAAGAGGCGAATAAAAGAGATATATATATCTAAGATATTAAGTAACCTTTAGGCGAGGGGTATCGAAAACGATTATATTTATATTAATAGAATTAATAGAATTAATAAAATTAATAAAATTAATAGAATTAATAGAATAGTAAAAGAAGAATAATTATATAAATAGGTGAAAGGATTATTATTCGATTCTAAACGCGTCTAGTATAACTACTATAACTATTATATTTAAATATCTATTTAATCTATTAATAGTAAGTTAAACTTTATAATTTTTATAGCGTTAGAAAGCGTAAAGCGAGCTTTATAATTTGAGGAATTATGAAGTAACTATATATATTATAAGCTGAGTACTTTAAAGTGTAAAACTTCTATATATAAATTTTTAATAAGAGAGGCGTAAGAGGATTATCGAGTTAACTTAGCCGGTCTAACTAAAAAGCGTATAGAACCTAAAATTATAATTAACTATATATATAAATTTAAGGTTTTTAAGCTTAGCTCTATCTTATTCTATTATATATACTAATATTAATATAATATATTACTATAATAACGTTATAAGAGACGAATCTACTATAATAATTATAGCTATTTAGATCTCTATAGAAGAACTATTAAATAATATATATTTAAATAAATTGAAATTATTCGATATCTATAGCTATTTTATTATTCGAAAGATTTTACTACGATAAGAGATATTATAGAATTTACACTACTAATTAATACGTTATCTTTATTTCTTTCTAATATTTTAATACTTCTAATTATAAGAATATAGCCTTTCTCTATTTTTTATAGAAAACTATTATAAATCAATTTATTACACTCGATATATCTTTCTAATTAAACTTTAGCGTATCTTTCTTCGTATATATATATCTATAAATTATATAGATTAATGAAATAACTTTATATTATATAATATTAAGAACTATTTCTTAATAATAGTTTTAATTAAAAAAATAGATTATAAATTTAATTTATAAGTTTAAATTTGTTATAATAATATAAAATTAAAAAAACTAAATTAAAAAATTAATATTAAAAAATAATTATAAATAAAATTTTATTGAGAAGCGCTTAAAAGAATATTTTAAAATTATTAAGGTATTAATATAAGTAGTTAATTATAAAGAGTTAAGGGAATAAATTAACTAAATAAAAATATACTTAATTAAGCGATAGAATTCGAGATTAAATATTTAAATAATAAGAATAAATATAATTAGTTTTAGTAATATAGAAAAAATAATAAGTTTTCTAATTATTATTCTAA